TAGCCAACAATGTAATTTAAGTAGTAATAAAAGGTCTCTCAACTATAAAAGCACAGGACCAGATGGAACCCCTGAAAAGTCTCACCAGAATGTCAAAGAACCGAAACCAACACTACTCAAATTATCCCATAAAATATAAAAGGAAGGAAGGCTTCCTAGCTGTTTTCATGGGGAAGGAAGGGAAGAAAATTGTGAGCCACTCTGCTTGAGGAGCACAGTAAAATGCTAGCAAACCAAAGATCGTATAAAAGATCATTCATCATGACCAAGTTTATTAATCCCAGTGATGCAGGGTTGTTTAAACATATGTAAGTCAATAAGTTATACTCATTACACAAATAGACTAAAGGACAGAAACCAGATGATCATCTATTAGATAAAAATGGTCTTTGAAAAAAATCTAACACCTCTCCATAATAAAAGTCACAGAGAGCTAAAAGTGAAAAGAGCACACCTCAGTATACATAACAACCTACATCAAACATCATACTAAATGGAGAAAAACTCAAAGCATTCCCATCGATATCAGGAACCAGATAAGTGTGGCTGCTGTCTTCACTCCTATATAATATAGCACTTGAGGTCTTAGCTAGAGCAATAAGGCAAGAAAGAGAAATGAAAGCAAACAAATTAATAAAAAAATAAAAACAGGAAAAGCAGAAGCTAGGGTATCCCTATTTCCAGAGGATAGGATTCTATACATAAGAGACCCAAAAACTCAGGGCTGATAAATACTTTCGGCAAAGTGAAACTATACAAAAGTATTGAACAAAAGCGAATAGCCTTTCTATGTACTGACAACAGACACACTGAAAAGAAGTCAAGGGAATAATCACCTTTTCAATGGTTGAGACAGTCCTGGAGGAGTTGCAGGAGGTGAGTGAAAAGTGGGTTTGATCAACACACTATATATATTTATGTATGAAAATTTCAAAGACTGGAAAATAATAAACATGGTTTCCACAATGGAGGAGGGAGAGAAGGAGGAGAAAACAGTGGGAGAGGAAGAGGATGAGAAGAATAAAGAGGAGGGAGAGAAGGAAGAAAAGGAGGACAAAGAGGAGGCAAGTGCCATCCCAAACATTAGTACCGTTAAGTATCCAACTGAAGTTAAACAAGGGTGAAGCCACAGAGCATGGTGACTATAACCAGGTTGGTATAAGAATCAGAGAATCCTCTGTGTATCAAAGTGTCCCCATTTTTGTGGGCCAAAGGTACTAGAGCCCAAGACATGTAAAATGTGGAAGACCCCAGAAACTAAGACAAGTCACATGCATGCTGAAACAGAAGGTGAAAAAAAAACCATTAACAGTCATGTAGGAATCTGGGATTTGTTTAATTACAAGAGAAGCTGGAATAGCTCTGTTCCATGAAACTAAGAAAGCCATTGTAATGGGGAACACGTGCCATTGTAGGACTTGATAACATATTTTGGTGCCATATAATTATGTAAAATCGAGAAAGAAATATTATGGTGTAGTAATATTTTGAGGAAATGTCTCTTTGAAACTACAATCTACAACAGCCCCGGGATTTGGTCTTTTTCTTGGTGGCAGCTACAGGCAAGACTAGGTCACTATTTCCTGATGCTCTCTCCCATGGCTTTTTGTTTTTGAATCAGGGTCTCTTTACATAGCTCTGGATGTCCTGGAACTTACCATGTAGACCAGGCTGATCTACAACTCACAGACATCTGCTTCCTGCTTCTGTTTCCCAAGTGCTAGTATTAAAGGTGTACACTAGCACACCCCTCTGATCATCTCAGTTTTAACTAAACCCCACCTCTTGAGTATTGCTCTACTGCTGGGATACTTTTTCATGAGGTGGGAAATGCTGTCACTAATAGTGATAACCATGAAACCTTCACCTTGATCCTTAATCTAGGCTCCCATTCAGCAGCTCGGTTTAAAAGATGTCTGTTGAGTACTAATTATGATGGGCTCAGCTATTTGCTGAGGCAGCAATGTCTTAAACAGGATCACATGGATATGTCCTAACAGTAGCATTAACTAACAAACCTCCAAACACAGTTCTCCAAGCCCAAGTATCCCGTGCAGAGTGTCTCACATAAGGAACTTGCTTTGGTTATCAGGGAAAACTATTATGCAGCTTTGCTGAGGTGAAAATACAATTATGTTAGGATGTTACAAAAAATGGCTTCTCTCTCCTGTGAGTGAACGTTCTCTGTCTGGATGTTCCATGGCTCTTTGTCTCAGCTGTGGGGCAGAAGCAGCAGTCTAGTGATGAGCTCTTGTGACAGAAGTCAAGAACAAAAAAGCCTCTTAAAATGTCAGCTGGGGTGTGACCTATGTCCCATCAGCTCACAACACATGGCCTAGCCTCAAGCCAATAGGAGAAGATGTAAAGTATGAATGATTTTAAGACACCTAAAACATAAAGGAAGATATCATCTGTATTATTTCACTTCACAAAATATTACTAGGAATATTGAATGCAATAATTTGCTTTGAGTTTCCAATTGAAAGGCAGAGAATTGTATTCTGAAGGTCACATCTAGTCCTCACCAACCTTCTGCTATTCTCCATACTCCCTGGGCCATGTGATTAGCATCCTCACTGCTTTCATTGTTTCCAATTCCAAGCTTACCCCCCAAAACTTCATTCACACTGTTTTCTCCAAGGCTAAGTTCAAGGGTCATTTCCTTGCCCTGCAGAGACTTGCATTAACTGTTCATATACACAGTTGGAATCTACCCATGTCTCAAGGGAAGGTGGATGGCATATGATAAATGATATGCGGCTGTCCTCTGACCTCTAAATGCATGCACACATGTGTCCCCACACATATACAAATATGCATACAAATGTACATACACAAAACAATATGTATATAGAGATAAAAGAAAAAGTTTGAGAGTCAAGAAAGTAATAATATGAACTCTTTTTTCTAAGAACAGAAATCTGTAACTTTTGTACATACTTGTAACTTTTCTATACACCTAAAATTGCTTCAAAATTACTTTTTAAATGGTCTTAACTATAAATAAAAGTACAATGAATTTTAAAAAGGAAAGCCAGATATCAAAACTGGAAAGAAAAGTAAGGAAACGAAGTTGGGTCTAAACTACAGTACTAAAAAGCATCAAAAGAAATGTTTGACAGAAACACTAATAGAATGCTGACACTTCTCCCTCTGTGAAGGACAAAATGGGTTCAAGTATGAAATAAAGTTTTCCATTAAAATAGCATCATTAAGTTCAGAAAGAAGCAGAATTCTGCCTGTGTATACTTTTAAAATAACAATAATGGCTATTCAAATGTATCCTAAACAAAAGGCAATTGCCAAAATTTCTGACATTTAATCTGAAAAATAAAAGAAAATCTCCAGCCTTGCATGCAAAACATCCAGGGAAGTATGGACTTGTAAAGTTTCCTATCTAAAATGTCAAAAACAAACAGAAACAGGCATTTGACTAATTCAAAGACTTGTACTTTGAATAGTGCATTATCAAAATCAAATTATGAAAGGAGTTAGACATGTTGTGATCAGACTGATGACCAGTTGGGTCCAGTTTGGCTCTGCTTCTTAATAAAAGGAGCAGCAACAATGTAGTTCAAAACATTAATTTTTCGTGTCTATCCATTCACAAAAAGGGGCGTAAGATACTATGTGCTAAGGATCTTGAATGGAGAATACAATAGTGAGGCACACTGTGTGTCTTGGCAAAAGTTCAATGAAGGATGTTAGCAATGGGCAGAGTTGTTACATCATGTAAAACAAGTACAACCAAGTATTGCCAACTCTGGCTCCAAGTACACACAGGCAAGTCTGCCAAATGGGTATCATAAAAAGGCAAGTTTCAAAGATCATCTTGACATAAACACTTGCAAAATGCATTTACTTGTTAAATCCCAACCAGCATAAAGACACCATGCAATCATTTTCTGCTTATCAAAATCAATTGCAAATATGTAGTGATATATTTACAAATATGTATATATTCGGTGAAGTCATATTGGGAGTATTATTTATTCTTTTAAGAATATATTCCTTATAATGTTTGAAGATGACGTTTATTTATTTATTTACGTGTGTGGATGTGTTCAATGGCAGGTATGAGGAAGTCAGCACAGCTTGCTGGAAACAGTCCTGCACCGTGTGCGTTGTGGAGACTGCACTCAGGTCACTGGGCTTGGGGACAAGGGCCTCTATTCCCCGAGCCGTTGCACCAGCCTCATTTCCTGATTTTAGAAATCTCATTTATCTATAAACGACTCTGTAGAGAGGAGACTGTGGAGGGAAGCCATGTCTGCATTTTCCCAGTTAACATCCTTGTGAGCTTGTTGATAGCCTGTCAGAGGAGACATCCATTGAAAATGGGGGAGATTCGAGGATAAGCCAAATGTCTGCTGGCAAAGTCCTCTTAGAAAGTCCAGATATCCATCAGTACATAAATCTCCTGAATGTGCACAGTGAAACATATGAACATTGAAGTAGCTAATACAATTTATGTACAATGAAGTTTGTCACTTATGGAAAATTAAGAAATTTCTCAGAAAAGTCTCCTTTCCAAAGTTAAGCTCAGATTTGCCCTTGTATCATCCTCTATGCATTGGTGTAAGCAGAGGAAACCCATTTAAAAGGCAGGGTTGACTTTGGCCATGGTTTGTGCTGTTTCAGTACAATGGTCAGTGGGCACCGTTGTTTCTGGGCCATGATCAGGTACAATTGTACAGCAGAGAGGAACAAAGCTGGTCAGTGAACTGGGTGAAGAAGCAAAGGAAGAGGGGGACGAGGGAAGGCAGAGGGGGAGGGAGGGCTGGGACAAGACAGCCCCAAAGACAGACTCCAAGTGACCTTCCTTGAAGTGAACTCTACCTCCATAAGCCTTCAGTACATGAGACTTCTTGGGGACAATCCAAACAGAAACAGTTCATCTATGACAATTGTCATGAGTAATTTCTAAACTACATGGAAAACTACATCTTACAGAATGTTGAATAACTTAAATCGTGGCATAATATAAAGCTTATATTTACCTCAACAATAAGTTGGTACTGTTTTCTGCCTAAGTAACTTCTCCACCATTTTTGCATAATTGTCACTACCCTGTTCAAGTGCCTACAATGAAAACATGCACATTAGTATGTGTTCACTGAAACCAAGATGTTTCTTCATTCTCTAAAATTATTGTCCTGTAATTCACAAGGTCAAATTCCAATTTAAGGTTCTATGTATCCTCGTTTTATTTTTGTTTTATTATTTCTATTTTACCTTGTTTATTTCTCCCTTTGACATAATGCAACTCATTATATAGACCTGGCTTGCCTTGGATATGTAAAGATCCTACCTACCATCACTGCCCCCCAAGGATTTGGATTAGAGATACATGTCCTGCCATGCCTGTCTACATGTAAACTTTTTTCCTTGACTGAAAATGCTTTGTTTTTTCACCTTGAGATGAGTTCTCAGTCAGAAAAGGCTGTGCTGTTGTCTGCTCGAGTTGGCAGAAACAACCTGACATTTCATACTTGCAGAAACTGAGGGTTGTGGTTGCTCAGATTTCCTAATGGCCAAGCTTATCATGGCAGAGCTGGGACTCTCCTCCAGTGAGTTCTGTTCTCCTATGTCTGGGTTGGGGACAAATAGGTGATTTGTAAACTACCCTTGTGCCTTGTAGGCATGCTGTGCCATATGTCCCCCAAACTGCCTTCAGGGAACAGTTACACATCTGGGAAGGTGCCATTACACCTGTCCTCAGCATGGACTTATCATTTTCTGCCACAGACCTACATCCACAACTTTGAGTCGAGTGTACATTGAGAGACCCAGGGTTTCCTTGAACTCACCCTGTAACCCAGGTTAGCCTTAAACTTGCAGTCCTCCTAGCTTAGCCTCCAAAATAGTTAGGGGCAGGCCTATGCCACTAGGCACAGATAAAATACTTCAAAGTTATGTTCTATGCACAGTCCAGTTGACATGCTGAGAAATGGCAGAGGAATTATTGATGAAAATCACGTTAAGAGCCTAGAAAAATAGTTCTTATGTCAACAAAGGTGTCCTTGTGTTTCCTTGTCTTCTCCAGTGTTTCTGAGGCATCATGTGAGTCGGGTGAATTTAAAGAATTTCTTCACAGCCACGTTTCTGTATTGCACCGAGGCAAAAGCAGAGGCCTCATTTACAAACTGGAATTTACAACTCTGGGTAAACAAGGAAGTGTGGTGAATTATACAACTCAACCAGCTCTGGTTATCATAGACAAGGCATATTCTTCCTCTAACTTACCTAGGAAAATATTTGTTCACATGTGAGGTATGACACCAGGAACTGAACTTAGGACCTTGTGTGTATACCAGGCAAGCGCTGGGCAGGCGGTACTACCTACCCTTCCTCAGAATCAAAGAGAACATTAAACATGCTCTGTGCACTGAACAATAGCATGGGAGGGATTAAGATGGGATAGATCCATCATTTTATAATTAGAATATCATCATTTTAATACCATTGCTTTCATCAACCAACAGTTGAGAAATACTAAGATTCTTCTTCCCAAGTCCCCTTTGTGCCCCATTAGCTGATTTTTTACTATAAATGCACTTCGGGGAGGGGGGTATCTGAACAAATGTGCTGACAATATTGAGGGTTGTTAGAGGTGTATATGGCAGATATAATTCACATAGCAATCAGAAACAGTCAGAAGGGTTCTGTTTCCCTTTAATGACTTCACTACTGATTGAAATAAGAGGGTATCTGGAATAAATGCTACACAAAAAAGTTGTGATTCTCCAAGGCTGCATTTCAGCTTGTAAATGAGGTTTCTACGGTAAAATGGTAAAATGAATGTACCTGATGTGTGCCCGGACTTGGCAGCCACGGAACCAGCTCTGGATTTTCACAGCTGCATCATTCTCTTTCTTCCGAAATGCGTCAACGGCTCTGAAACATGGTTTCAAATAGTTTCATTAGTAACTAATGCAATTCTAAGGCAAGTCAACCTGTTAACCTTAATTTTTAATTTCTTAAAGATGGTAATTACAACTCACATGTCATTTTAAAGAAATTAAAATACTAAATTAAAAAAGCACATCTAAAAAATGAGCAGTTTTAAAAATTAACCTTTCTCTGAAAAGTCATGAGCTTTCAACAGCTTTTCCTATTTTATTTTTATAATCATCTGTTATGCTACTAATTAATTTGGTAGCATTTTTTAAGGAATGAAAAACAATGTGCAACTTTGTCAGTATTTTTGAAACATAATTATTTGAACTTATGGTTTAAATGCCACTACACATGTAACATGCAAAGTAAAATGCCTGCATATTTAACCCACTCATCAGTTAAATGTGCTGCCTCTAATTCAAATGAATCTATCACAAAATGCCTACTCTGGTAAGAGCCTGCTTATATTAAAGAATTCAATGGGTGTGTCACAGGCTTATAAAAAGATAAGAAACTTAATTCTTAGGTTTTACTGACTTACAATGAGAAAAAATAGAGTCAAGACATCTTAATGTATCTATCCTAATATCTTGTATTTCAACTGTCAATTGATAAAGTAATAGCACAATGAACTACAGAATATATTTCTTTTAGAAGGTTGTTGGCATACACTTGGTGCCCCACCTTTGCTGAATGAGCACGGCTGGTAATACGGCAACACTTCTTTCTTATTGACTATGTTCCTGTAGGTATATACTATGACCATCCAGGTTCAGGTGGATATACATATATGTGGCATCTAGAAGTTGGCGTGGGTATCTTCATCAAACACCCTTCATCTTTTTTTTTTCCTTTTTTTTTTTTAACATAGAGTCACTGGACCTGGAGCTCATTGATTTAGCTAGGCTGGCCAATAGGAATGGGAGAAAAGGACCCCTCCCTCCCCGGATTAACAGCTACAAGCAGTGAATGACTGCTGGGAGAGAAGAACCAATCTTCTACAGGTTTGAACCCTTTAACCGGCGATCCAGTGCCGAGTGGTCAGCCCTAAAAACATACACATATGCACAACCCTAAGTGCATTAACTGGTTGTGTATTTGTTCGTTTACTTGTATGTGTAACAAGAATAGAGAAAAAAGGATCACGAATTTGAGAGGGAGTGGGGAAAACATAGAGGTGTTATTGGGACAGGCTGTGATGTAAATGTAGCACACATTCGTGAAATTAAAAAGAATTTAAAAAGACATGCCCTATGCATTAATTCAATTAAAGTGGCAATCAAGAACAATGAGCTGATAGGCATACAAACCACTCTCTCTGTATGTTAGTCCTCTCCCTCTCCTGGCTTTCAAATGCAGTTAGAATACACGCCTGTGCACAGAAGCATGTCTACAAAGACACAAGGTTGCCCAGCAGTCACATATATCCAAGCACTGAGGACAGGTAACACATGACATAGATAGCATTGTCACTAAGATCAAACAATTGTAAAGCAATTTCATTTGAATTTGAAAGATTAGAAAATTTTTACATTATCAATTTGCAAAGCTCCAACAGTAATAGCACACATCACAAATCTGATCAGATACCTCAAAGACAGGAATTAAACGTATAAGACATAAACACAAGAAATATTAACTTTGAAAGCAAGTGACTTAAATAAATAGATCAATAGAGAAAAAATAAATTCTTTTAGGACAGTTTTTCCTATTCTGAAGTTAAGGCTTTTACAAAAATGAATCACAGAATAGGAAAAACATTGACCATATTCTACATTTGGTGTGTCTTTGTGTACTCATGTGTGCATGTATGTGTTTTCATAGGGGTGCGGTTACTTGTGGGAGCATGTGTATGTGAAGGGGTCAATGGTCAACCTCAACTGTGGTCTCTTGTGTTGTCACTCAGGTACCAACCTGTTTTGGGACAGGGAGCTCAATGAGTAGGCAGGCTGGGATGGTTGACCACCAAGCCCCAAGAACCCCTGTTTGATCCAGCCCCATGCTGAGATTACTAGCTGAGCACCACACAGGGCATCTTTTCAAGGGAGCTGAGGACTGAACTCAGGTCTTCAAGAGTTTGACTACCTCCCCAATACTTGGGATGTGATTTAAAAGTGATCACCCAAATTCACAGCCTCATGAGTGTGGTAGTGAATTTAAAAAGGTGAGACAGAAGGATTTTAAGTTTAAGAACAACCTGAGCTACACAGTGAGACTGTCTTTAAAAAAGGAAAGTTCAAATCTCCATAAAAAAGAACACTTTTCATGTCAATAAAGGTTCTTACATTTTGTAGAATATCAATTATCCTTCAACCCCCCTAAACAGGATTAGGAAGTAGCTGTTTATCATTTTTATCGTGAACATTGTGTGGAATTGTTACAGGTAAAAAGTAGGGAACACAATCCCAGGATTCAGAGCTGGTGGCTATGATGCTGGCTCTATCACTGAGAGCCTCGGTCACCTCTTAAGGTCACATAAGGAAGCTTAGTTGCCAACTCTGCATCCTTGATAGCTTCCTGAAACAAAGATCTGCTTGTGGGGTGTCACCTCTAAAATTTCTTAGCTACAGATGGAATCCACAAATTTTAGGAGGCATAACTTACTTGAGGACAAATAAAGGAAGGGGAGAGAAAGCTGGAGGAGATGGGAAGAAGGGAGACAGGAAAGAAAGGGGGACAACAAGCTAGGTGGTGGTGCTCACAGCAATCGCAACCCTCGGGAGGATCAGGAGTTCAAGGATCCTTAGTTACACTGCAAGTCTGAGGCCAGCTTGGGCTACATGGCACCTTGTCTCAAACAGATAAACAAAACGTGGATTGTGTTTTCAAGACCATCAAAGTCAAGTAAACTGAGAATAGACTCTGAGTACACAGAGTGGCTGGGAAGAAATTGGCCTTCTTATGAATGGGGAAAAGCATGAATTTAACCATTATTTAAACAACTAAGCATGCCAAGCCTTCTCTGAAGAAGTCCTGCTGTTTTCAAGGAAGCAACCATGCTGTATATCTGAGGGCAAGCTCTTACACTTGAGCTGATACTGATGTGGCCTCCAAAGCTTGCTTAATGAAAATACTGCGATGGGAGTGCAGTTCCTGAATTCCCAGCAGGTTGACCCTTGGCCACTGCACCTGCTAAGATCCCACCATCCAAGATCATGACACTGGAAGATTCTGAAAGGTGTTTCTGAAGAAATCCAAGACTGAGGAGGCTTTAAAGAAACACAAAAGGTCTCAGCATCCGTCCCAGGGACGGCAGGGAGAGTGCAATGGAACATGATGAGCCCACACCTGCTATCTTTTCACCCCACCAAGGCCAATATTTTCTGGCTGTATCAAATGTTTAGAGCTGTATTTTCATAATATAGCACTGTACTAAACATTGAAACAGAAAGAGCAACCTAATTAAAGACAGACTGGTACAGAAACAGCACGGTATGCACTTTTATTCTTGTAGAAAATTCAGTATCAATACATTGAAATGGATAAAGCACAATGGAAAATATACAACATAATATTTTGTTTATAAGAAACTTTAACAGAACACATATGTTACTGCGCATAAAGAAATGTAGTTCTCTGCAGAACCCAGAATTTGGAGAATGAAACCTGAAAGGAGAATTTTATTAACCTCTGATTCATTATGTTATTATATAATAGCCACACAATGATGCTTTTGCAGTTAAAAAGTGGGAAAGTGAAAGAATCCAATACAATCTCTTAGAAACTATGACTCATAGAGAACCCAGCAGAAAGAGTAGTGGATAGTATCAAAGCCAGATCACACAATGCCAGGACCAAACACCAGGTTCCTGCAGACCCAGCTTTCAGCAGACTGGGGATAGAAGACCCAAATGCTGCCCTCCACGGTTTCAAAGTCTACCTGAATAACACAGCAATATCTCAATTCAAAACAATTAAATATTTTTAAAATGGAATTTTACTTCAAGTGTCTATTCCTGAGTGTATGTACATTGTGGGGGTACAGGAACCCACAGAGGCCACCTGGAACTGGAGTTACAGGTGGTTGTCAGCTGTATAATGTGGGAGCAGGGAACCAAACCTGGGTCATTTGCAAGAGCAGAAATTTCTTTTAAAGATGGAGCCATCTTTCCAAGTCCACAAATAAATACTATCTATTTACTTATTATATTATGTTTAAAATGCTATCTCTGAGGCTTATGGGAAAAACAAATACTAGTTGGCCAGTAAATTATTCATTAATTCAAAGTTATTTACCACATTAAAACTGTGTGTGAGCTAGTATGCTTCTCAAAGACATACATCTGCACATTCTATGTACATGAGCTTCCAAACTAATATTCCTGAAGATAACACTAATTAAAACAACTGAAGAATTAAATGGTGCATTAAAAGGTAATATATATATATATATATATATATATAATCACCAGTGGAAGAGATTGTTTCTAGGAAAGAACATGGGAAGAAGGGATTAAAAGAATCATTTGACAGGTTCTCTCAGGGGCAGCACTCATAAGCACTGTATCTAAAACGTCAGCACTGGAATTTCTCCTTAGGTTCCTTGTGTCAACACAGGCTAAGGAACATGTCTCAACCTGCTTCCCTACATGCTCAGTGCTATTCATCCAAAACCCACTCTTTGTCAAGAATGGCAGTGTTACCAAAACAGCATTATCAAAAAAAAAAAAAAAACAGCTCCCATTGGATTGAGAAGCAATAGTCAGCATTAGTTCAGCCTTCACCTTTTTAAAACTTATGAGTTATAAAAGTCTTATTTCCCAAATGGTCTTTTCCCACTGGAGTCTCTCATCCAATCCTGATTAAATGGTTTTATTTTTGGAACAAGGTCTCCTCATGTAGCCCTGGCCTACTACTATGATCCTCTTCTCCAGTACCCCATAGGATGGGAAGCATGTATGGCCACACCTAGGATGAATGATCTTTAAAACATTTTATAACACTATTTACTTATGTTATTGGGGGTGGGGGCAGTAAGTGCAGTCAGAGGTCAACAT